CTTCTGTTCGGTCCGTATGCTTGGTAGACGGGATTGCGTACCTTTTGACTAGGAGTTTGGGTCCTTGTGCTGCTTTGCTAGTGTCTCGAATATTCTGTTCCTCTGGATATATTCTGTGGTGCGCGTTTGGGTTCGGGGCTACATGTTCACATCTTCGGTATTTCAGAAGAGTGGCTCTAGTCGGACAGGACAACCCTGAGCGTTCGGATGTTTGTGTGGAAGACGCCTCTGGTTTCGGGTTGCATTTGAAGTTTTTGGTGTTTGAGTGGGTACTGTTACTAGAACAAGTCGCACCACTGGTAGATCATAAGCCATTGGGCGATTGTCTTGCGGCTGAGGCCCGCATGTCGACTTGATGCAGTACGAAGCATCGGTGCGTCCTCTCCACTCGGTTTTTGGGGTTTTAGGTTTTGTTTTAGGGTATTAGTTTCGGGTCTTAGTTTAGCTTGTTTAGGTTGTCTACTTTTGAGGTATGGGCTGGTCCGCTTTTTCCCCTATAGTCGGGTTTTCCGGATTCGGACACGGAACCCAAGAGGAGCTGAAATAAGGATCGCATAGTAATCGCTGTAGATTCTGCGTAGATCCCCAGTGCAGTAACTTGACATTGAGTTGAAATGAATTTCACAACTCCTAGAAAGCCTTACGGAACTCAAACAGTATTCCACCTCCTATGTATTCCTTAGCCAGGACCTCTCTCTGTATCAGCACTTAACTTAGAAAGTATACTGTGCCTTTGGATCTTAGCAGCAGCAGCAACAGCAGCAGCAGCAGCAGCAGCAGTAATTAGTAGGAGTGGCGGTGGTGGTGGTGGTGGTTCACGACATGAACGTTCCGTTCCTAGCTTCTGTCCTCTCGGAAACATGTCCACGAAAATCGTCCGCGCGAAAATAGCTGAGTTCGAAGTCGCTGAGTTGGAGGCCACATATTCAAGCCAAGATCGCTTGAGTAAAAGGGTTGCGCACTTCGGGAGTTTGATGTTTGCATCTGAAGAAAGGAGTACCAAACCTGTGGCGGTTGTTTGTTGTCAGCAGGCAGAAGGTTTGCATTGGATAGCGGAGCCCGATACCGACCGCAAAGGTGTCACCTCCTTCCTCTCTGTTTCAGGCCGATTACCGGTCTCGGAACGTTTTTTCTAAAGTTGTAGAGTTTGTCAAGATGAACTCCGAGTGAAGAACGCAATGATGCGTGCGGATGAGAAGCTGGTGTTAGCTCACGACATACCTAGACTGTGCGATTCAGTGCGAGAACTCGAGCCATTGCCATTTGATCATGAGAAGGCACTGGATCTTCTTGTCAAAACAACGTTCAGAGATGCGAGGGGTTTACTCAATCCCTCTCTTGTGGACAGGCCTTCGTGGCTGTCAACATGTCCTCAACTTCCGATGACGTCAGGCTGGAAATTCTGTCGTAGACAGACACTGTTGAATTTGCAAGGACTGGAGTGTCTTTTGTATGAGCCCCCATGATCAACATATGTGATGTGCGTATGCGGCTTCACTCTTGCCAGAGTTTCGGCTCCTGAGCCTGTTGGTATCATTCGCTTCCTGCAGCAACCTTTCGACTGTTGCTTTTCGTCTGCAAGACAAGGACGCTCTAGCATTCCTTTAGGCGGTGTTCTCGTGCTTGTGTTAGAATCCGCGCCTGTGATGACTGAGGTCAACCACTGACATTGAAATGGCACACGTCCGCAACAACTTCATGTCTATTCTGGAAGACGTTCTGGGAAGAGATAGCCTTAGTTATCCTTTGTACGTGGCATTCTCGAAACCTTCCGTGTTTGAATTGTGTGATTGGCGACCATTTGAATGAGGCCAGGGCATCGTGTTCGTAATCCCGCCAATGGCGGTTGAGCACCTTCCCAACGGCTTGCTCAGCCCATGCGGTTTCTCTTTCGCAGTTCGACATTCCATG